CAAAGTGATACTGGTTAATGGATGGCATTAAAGAATTTGCTCGAGAATCGAGAGAACCATAGTTCTGGCCTATGGGGTGATGAGTAACTGGATGACTACTCGATGCTGGTTGACGACATGAAGGTTTGACAGCTGGCGATAGGACCGTTGGTTGGGTCGTCGGTAGTCGCGTATGTGGCGATGATGGAGTGCTGGCTGCGATTGGAACAGGCGGCGCTTGCATCGACGAAGTACGATGAGAAAACAGTCGATCAGTATCGGTAGGCACTTGACTGTGAAGTTCTCGAAGTCGTGGATGACTGCCCATATCTTGCTGTAACATGAAACCGATTGGTGGCAAAAAACAAGAGGCTCTAGGGACTTGAAGGTTGTAAAGATTTCCTGTCTGACTTAAAGATGGATATTTAATTGTCGGCAATATGGGACGTAGCTGCCCTGCGTCGGATACTACGTCTAGCCTCTCAATGCTGGTCTTGGCCGCGCTTGAACTTCTGTGTACTGGTAACCTCTCCTCTCATGGATGTATGGCATGGCTGATGGACAAGCTACTGTGTGTGCCACCCATCTGACGTCGGGTGTGTTGCTGTTGTTCCAAGAGAGTAGCCAATTGTATGTAGGCCACTGGTGTAGTGCTTGGGTCAAACGTACTTGACGGAACGGGCTCGGATGGACGACGTTTTGCCTCCTCAAGTGATTGGGACCCTTGATTTACCAAAGACTGCCCTCTTTGAAGCGAAGTTAGTGAACATGCAACGTCGAGTGCGGCTTGTGCGAATCTGATCATGTCAGATGGCCCAGTTTCAACGGGTTTCTCTAAGCCGGTGCTTCTATTTTCTATGCTACCGTGATATAATCTCGTTGGACTGGCCTTTTGGCATTTTTCCTGCATTGCCTTCGTCAGTTCTGTGAGGGTTCTAGGCTCGAATATACCTAAAGGCTCATCAGGCTGCTCTTCTGACCGATGACTGGAAGTCGAGATGACTTCAAGGCCGGGAGGAAGGTTTCGCTCTTTGTCGTGAATACCAGGTTGTGATGGTGATTGAACTTGGGAACCAGATCGAGAGACTTGATTTGAAGAAGGGGGAGTGGGCTGAGTAAGGAGGAGATGCTCGGATTCTTGCTGACCCGGCTTTGGAGCCGATCCATGAGCTTCATGAGGCTCAGGTTGGACTGAGCATGGTGAGTGACCAAATCTATTAGTAGAAATAGTATTAAGCCTACCATCCAGAAGCATTGCTGAGTTTGTGTTGAGCTTGATCGGTTGTTCTTCCGTTGTGTTAGGTATTCCAGTCCTTGTCTCGTCTGGTTCGTGTTTTGGCGAATGCTTTGCTACTCGAGACTGGAGAAACTTGCGAACCGATTGTATGTGAGGAACAAGCGAATTCTTGCTCTTGGCATCGAAATCTCGTAAATCACTTGCAGAAACCCAACCGACAGCGCTTTTGGCGGGAAAGTCTTGGCCATCAAAGTAGATGACGGGGAACTCTCGCTTCGTAACCAGAGTTTCACAGTTGTTGTAGCCCTCTACCCAAGAAAAGTTACCCGCCTTATTGTTGTGGCACGCGGGGAGAAACTCTACCAGACCAAGGCTTCATATTCAGTCTGAGACGCCGACAATTTAAAAATCTTGCATTGGAAGTAAGAGTACGGCAAACCAATCTTTGGACTTTGCCCAAAAAGTAAGGTAGACGCTACCAGCATCCAGGTCAATGATACCCTCAAAGCCTTCGCCCTAGATCGATGGATTGTCCCAGCATCTCCTATGGCTGCGTCGTGTCTGCCTTCGCGAAGACATTGCAACTGGAGAGGAAACATGGTAACTTCCGGGCTCGGTATGATGAGTTTGCTCGTCAGTTCTGCGACGCTTCCTTCCCGTAGCTTGTGGCGAGTCCCTCTTCCGTTTATCCTATATCGGACGATAAGTATGGAATAATATGGGGGAAATTTGAATAAGTACGCCTGAAAGACTCGTCGCGTGAGTCAGATGGTCGTTCTCAAGCATCTCTGTAGGAGCAGTTGCTTTTTCAGCGCCGCTTTCTCGGGGCGTTGGAGCCGGTGGCTGAAAGGGTACTGACTGGGTCCACCAGTTCATCCCAGCAGGAACAGGTTTTTCGCAAGACCTTTAAGACCAGGTCGGATGTACCAATAGTACGCGCTAGGCTATACGTGGTCGTGCAAGGCGTTTATCAAGCTGAGATCAATGGTTGCAGAGTCAGCCACGACTTCTTAGCTCCCGGTTGGACGGTGTACGACAATCGAGTACGGTATCAAACCTACGACATAGCACATTTACTCGCCTCATCAGGCCAGAATTGCATCGGATTTCGTCTTGCAGATGGGTGGTATTGTGGCCGCTTAGGATTCTTCGGTGGACGGCGACTTCGTTGGGGCCCTTATCCCACTCTGATGACCCAACTAGAGATCATATACAGCGATGGGACTTCTCAATCCGTATGTTCTGATGCCAGCTGGCTCTCACAGCCTGGTCCTGCCATAAAGGCAGAGATATATGATGGAGAAAAGTACGATGCCAACTCTAAGATCCACGGATGGTCAGAGTACCTGTCCGAAGCGAACCCGGTCTTTTTGAGCTCCGGCTGGGAGCAAGTCACGGTACTAGAGCCGTTACCTGACTCAGTCAACATCACAGCAGGCTTCGCGGAGCCAATTCGCCCTATTCAGACTCTGAAGCCCGTTGATCTAATCACGACTCCGGCGGGCAAGAAAGTTATTGATTTCGGCCAAAATCTTGTTGGATATGTGAGACTCAAGAGGATAATAGGCCCAAAAGATAGCCGAGCCTCACTGAGACACGCCGAAGTGCTCGAAAATGGTGAACTGGGCCTTCGGCCGCTGCGTGTCTGCGAAGCGATGGACGAATATGTATGTGATGGCGGTGTTGAGACTTCATGGGAGCCTAGCTTCACTTACCATGGCTTTCGATACTGCCAGATCGACGGCTTGTCTGAGTCAATCAACATCCTAGACTCTATCGAAGCTGTCGTCTGCCATAATGATATGGAGTTGGCAGGAGAGTTTACTTGCTCAGACCCGAAGTTGAACAAGCTCCACGACAACTCACTCTGGAGTATGAGAGGAAACTTCTTTTCGATCCCGACTGATTGTCCTCAGCGCGATGAACGGTTGGGATGGACTGGAGATATTGCCCAGTTCGCTTCAACCGCTGTTAAGCTCTATGATTGTTTCGGCTTTTTGAAGGATTGGATGGTCGATGTTGGACATGATCAATACAGGCGCAATGGCATCCCAGCCTATGTAACACCTGACATTCTAGACGATGCCGGGATTTGGAGCCTCATCTTGCCGGTTGCGATCTGGCATGATGTTGTCATCCTTGTACCTTGGGCTCTGTATGAAACTTCAAGCGATGTGGAGGTCCTCAAGGGTAATTACAATAACATGAAGAAGTGGATCGATTCCATTCCCAGGGATGAGGAACGCAAGCAGAAGCTCTGGAACAGGACATCTTTCCAACTTGGTGTAAGTACATCTTTATGGCCGATCAAATGGGTGCGATGCTAACAAATTAACAGGACTGGCTTGATCCTACTGCACCGCCTGACCAACCCATGGATGGTCAAACAGATCCTGTGCTTGTTGCTGACGCATTCTTGATCCATTCGCTCGACTTAATGGTTTCCATTGCGACCGTTCTCAACGAGCAGGAAGATGCCCAGGCTTATAACCAAGAGGCGACTACCTGCCGCCAGCAGTTCAGTGATGAATACATCTCCTCTAATGGCCGTATCAGTTCCGATTCCCAAACGGCCTACGCGTTGGCAATAGTATTCGATTTATTGCGAAGCCAAGAGCAGATGTCGTATGCGGGACGGCGACTTGCAACAATCGTGCGCCGCAACAAGTTCAAAATTGGCACTGGGTTTGCTGGCGCCCCATTCCTTTGCGAGGCTCTTTTCCGTGCCGGCCACACTTCTGTGGCATATGCAGCCTTGCTCTGTGAAGAATGCCCTTCGTGGCTTTATCCCCTTACAGTTGGTGCTACAACTATGTGGGAGCGGTGGGATAGCATGCTGCCTGATGGCAAGGTGAATCCCGGAGAGATGACATCCTTCAATCACTATTGCTTTGGCTCCGTCGTCTCTTTTCTCTACGAAAGGCTCGGGGGGTTACAGTGCGCTGAACCAGGTTGGAAGAAAATTCGCTTCGCACCTCAGCCTGGAGGCGGTATCACATCAGCGCACGTGAAGCAATTGACGCCTTATGGATGGGTGTCTGCCCAATGGAAGATTGAAGCCGGCAGCTTAAAGGCTGAGTTGACCGTTCCAAACATGGTTGAAGCAGAGGTTGTGCTTCCATTTGCTGCAGGAGACAAGGTAGTCGTCCTTGGAGGTGGCCACTGGTTATTTACAGGCAAATATCGCGAGCGCATGGTATGGCCGGTTGAAGCCATCGCAGCCTTTCCTAGCCTTGAGCCTTCAAATGGACCAAGGTGACTGGAGCTCCCATACCTATGCAAGACAGCAACGATAGGTCAATCACCTTTTCCAGACAAAAGGAATTTAGTCCCATGGTCATTGACGAAGGTATCAGATT